GCTAGGACTTCCAATACTATGTTGAATAGAAGTGGTGAAAGTCGGCATCCTTGTCTTGTTCCAGTTCTCAGGGGGAATGCTTTCAACTTTTCCCATTCAGTATAATGTCGACTGTAGATTTGTCATAGATAACTTTTATTGCCTTAAGGTATGTCCTTTCTATGACTATTTTGCTAAGGGTTTTAATTATAAAGGGAAGCTGGATTTTTAAAATGCTTTTTTGGTGTCCATTGAGATGATTATGTGATTTTTGTTTTTAACTCTGTTTGTATGTTGTATCAGATTTATTGACTTGTGGATATTGAACCATCCCTGCATCTCTGGTATGAAAGCCGCTTGATCATGGTGGATACTCTTTTGATATACTGTTGGATTTGGTTAGCTAGTATTTTGTTGAGGATTTTTGCATCTATGTTCATCAGGGATATTGGTCTGTAGTTTTCTTTTGTGTGTGTGTGTTTTATGTCCTTTCTTGGCTTTGGTATTAGAGTGATACCGGCTTCAGAATGATTTAGGGAGGATTCCTTCTTTCTCTATCTTATGGAACAGTGTCAACAGGATTGGTACCAATTCTTCTTTGAATGTCTGATAGAATTCAGCTGTGAATCATTTGGTCCTAGACTCTTTTTTTTTTTTTTTTTTTTTGGTAACTTTTTAATTACCATTTTAGTCTAGCTGCTTGCTATTGATCTGTTCAGAGTTTCTATTTCTTCCTAGTTTAATCTAGGAGGGTTGTATATTTCCAGAAATGTATCCATCTCCTTTAGGTTTTCTAGTATATATGCGTAAAAGTGTTCATGGTAGCCTAGAATTGTCTTTTGTATTTCTGGGGTATTGGTTGTAATATCTCCCATTTTGTTTCTAATTCAACTTATTTGGATCTTCTCTCTTCTTTTCTGGGTTAATCTTGCTAACGGTCTATCAATTTCATTTATCTTTTCAAAGAATCAGCTTTTTGTTTTATTTTTCTTTTATATTTTTCTTTGTCTCAAGTCCATTTAGTTCTGCTGTGATCTTGGTTATTTCTTTTCTTCTGCAGGGTTTGGTTTGATTTGTGCTTGTTTCTCCAGCTCCTTCAGGTGTGACCTTAGATTGTCTGTGCTCTTTCAGACTTTTTGATGTAGGCATTTAATGCTATGAACTTTTCTCTTAGCACCGCCTTTGCTGTATACCAGAGATGTTGTTGAATTCAGTTTACTGGTATTTTGTTGAGGATTTCCGAATCATGTTCATCAGTGATATTGGCTGTAGTTTTCTTATTTGATCTGGTTTTGGTATCAGGGTAATGTTGGCCTCACAAAGTGAGTTTGGAATTATTCCCTCCTGTCTGATTTTTTTTTAAATGAGTTTAGATAGAGTTGGTATTAGTTCTTGAAATATTTGGTAGGATTCAGCAGTAAAGCCATCAAGCCCTGGACTTTTCTTTGACGAGAGATGTTTGATTACGGCTTTGATTTCCTGACTCACTACTGGTTTGTGGAGGTTTTCTATTTCTTCATTGTTCAATTTTGGTAAATTGTATGTGTCCAGGAATTTATCCATTTTTCGGTTTTCTAGAATTTTCTAAAGTGTGTTGGCAGGTAGTTGTTCATAACAGTCTCTAACCATTCTGTTTCTGCAGTCTCAGGTATTATGTCTCCTTCTTTGTTTCTAACTTTATTTGGGTCTTCTCTCTTTTTTTCTTAATCTGGCTAGAGGTTTGTTGATTTTGTTTATCTTTTCAAAAAACCAACTTTTCATTTTGTTGATCTTATGCATTTTTTAAGTCTCAATTTTATACATTTCTGCTCTGATCTTTACTATTTATTTCCTTCTACTAATTTAGGGTTTGGTTTGTTCTTTTTTTCTAGTTCCTCATGGCACATTTTAGGTTGTTTACTTAAAGTCCTTCTACTTTGTTGATATAGATGTTTATTGCTATAAATGGCCCTCTTCGTACTGCTTTAGCTGTATTCAGTAGATTTGGTGTGTTGTATTTCCACTGTCATGTAGTTCAACAAATTTTTACATTTTCTTCTTTATTTCTTTAGTCCTCCATTGGTCGTTCAAGAGCATGTTGTTTAGTTTCCATGTATTTTGTGTTTTTCAAAGTTCCTCTTACTACTGATTTCTAGTTTTATTCCATTTTGGTTAGAAGAGACACTTGATATGATTTATATTTTTAAAAACCTGTTGAGACTTATCATGTGGCCTAAGATATGGTCTATTCTGGAGAATGTGCCATGTACTGATGAAAAGAACATGTATTTTGCAGCATTTGGGTGAAATGGTCTGTAAACATCACTTAGGCCTATTTGGTCTAGTATGTAGTTTAACTCTGATGTTTGAATACATACTTTTAAGTACTTTTTTAGAATTTGAGGATTTCCCTTACTTTTTGAAAACAACTATATGCTAAAGTTTTTTTTTTTCTTTTTTTTTGAGACGGAGGTTTGCTCTTTCGCCAGGCTGGAGTGCAGTAGCGTAATCTTGGTTCACTGCAACCTCCGCCTCCTGGGTTCAAGCGATTCTTCCGCCTCAGCCTCCCAAGTAGCTGGGACCACAGGTACGTGCCACCACACTCAGCTAATTTTTGTATTTTTAGTAGATGGGGTGTCACCATGTTGGCCAGGATGGTCTCGATTTCTTGATCTCATGATCTGCCTGCCTCGGCCTCCCAAAATGCTAGGATTACAGGTGTGAGCCACTGCGCCCGGCCTTAAACTAAAATCTTTTTAAAAATTAAGCATTTTTAGGGATTTTATAGAGGAATAATTTTCAGGATACCTAGTTTACCTTATTGCTATTATTTCTGTGCAAGACTTCTTGGATCATCCAAGTAATCTTTTGTGTTGCAAGCCTACCATGCACATTGCAACCTCCTCACTGTAACTCATTATGTCTTGTCTCTTTGTAACACCATAACACTTTCACCTTGAAGCTTGTCTAAGTGTTGTTCTTCTGTTTGTTTGTTTGAGTTGGAGTTTTGCTCTTGTTGCCCAGGCTGGAGTACAGTGGTGCAATCTCGGCTCACTGCAACCTCTGCCTCCTGGGTTCAAGCAATTCTCCTGCCTCAGCCTCCCAAGTAGCTGGGATTATAGGCATGTGCCACCATGCCTGGCTAATTTTGTATCTTTAATAGAGATGGGGTTTCTCCATGTTAGTCAGGCTGGTCTTGAACTCCTGACCTCAAGTGATCTGCCTGCCTTAGTCTCCCAAAGTGCCGGGATTACAGGCGTGAACCACCATACCCGGCCGTGTTGTTCTTTTTTTAAGGGCCAGATCAAGTCCTGCCTCCTCCTAAAGTCTTTCCCTGCAACATTAGGTTTCTACAGACATTCCTGTTGTGCTTTGTATGACCCAGTTGTCATTTACCTGTGCTATAATGCTGCTTAGCATTTTCTTTAGTCACGACCAGTTATTGAGGGCTTTCTACATGTCAAACACAAAGTCAAGTGCTTTCCATGTATTATATCATTTAACCTCATAAATACCCTGGTGACAGGTGACTCCGGCAGCACCCAGTTTTTTAAATGAGAAAATCCTAGAGTCAGAGAAGTTAAGGAGCTTTCCCAAGGTCATATAGCTAGTAAATTAATGGAGGCCAGATTCATATCCAGGACCACTGGATTTCAAATTTCATTCTAATACCCACTAAACAAAATCACGTCACACATAAACTAAATGTGTAAGTTTCACATTAAGTTTTCACAGTTACATGGTTTGTTCTCTAAGGCTAGAGAAAAATACCTCATACATATTCTCTGTATCCAGCACAAAGTCATTTTCTCAACAAATATCAATTACATGTTTATTAATCCAACATGTATTAAACCATCTATGTGACAGACAGCATGCTAGACTTTGTGTTGCAGAAAAAAAGTAGACAAATCTCTGACCTTGAAGAGCTCAAAAGCCAGTAGGGTAGTCCTCCTTATCTGCAGGGGATACATTCCAAGACCCCCAGAGGATGCCCGAAACCACCGATAGTACCAAACCCTATATATACTGGTTTTTTGGTCTGATAACCAAGAGGACTACCAAGAAACTAGCAGTCAGGTAGCATATACTGAGTGGACATGCTGGACAAAGAAATGATTTGCATCCTGGGTGGGATGGAGCAGAAAGGGGCAAGATTTCATCATGCTACTCAGAACAGTGCAAAAATTAAAACTTACGAATTCTTTATTTACGGAATTTTCCATTTAATATTTTCAGACCACTGTTAACCACCAGTAACTGAAACTATGGGAAGCAAAACCACGGATAAGAGGGGACGACTGTAACAGGGCTTCTGGGTCCACCAAGATGACATGACTCTTTTTCTCCCAGGTCCTCCCCTTTTTAGCTAAAACCTATGGACATAACACAGCAAAATCGAAGAATGCTGATAAAAGAAATCAACCTACATACCTATAATCAACAAACTATATAAATGAAGAGACGTACTGATCCATGAATTGGAAGATTCAATAGAGTAAAGATGTCATTTCTTCCCAAATTGATCTACAGATGTCATGAAATCTCTATCAAAATCTCAACAAGCTTTCTTATAGACAAAGGTAAGTTTATGGTAAAATTTATGTGAAAAGCACAGGCCCCAAAATAGCTGAAACAATTTGGATGAAGAATAAAATGAGAGAACTCGCCCAATTTGATTCTTTAATTCAATTTCATTAAAACTGTGATCAAGTTGGGGGGACATGACACCTTTACTATATTGAATCTTCCAAGTCATAAATACAGCATGTCTCTCCTTTTATTTAGGTCTTTTTTGATTTCTCTGATCAGCATTTTGTAATTTTCAACCTGTAAATTGTATTCATTTTTTATTAAGTATGTATTCTAGACATTTCATTTTATTTGGAGCAATTATAAATGATTTTGTGTTTTAAATTTTGCTTTCCATATGTTCATTGTTACAATACAGAATGTGATTGTCATTTGTGTATTACTCTTGAATCCAACAACCTTGCCGAACTCACTTGCCAGTTCTAGGAGGCTTTTTTTTTTTTTTTTTCCTCATTAAACTTTTTTAATGGGTCTCAAAATTCTGTGACAAATTTTTGGTCAAGTTGTTTCCATTAAAAAGTACTGATTTTAAAAACTGACTAAACTGCCACAAGCAAAAAAGAAAACCAAAGTGGTCCACTAAACATTCTCCTTTCCTTCTGAAGGTTTTACGATGCATTGTTATCATTAACCAGTCTTTTACTACTAAACTTAAATGGCCAATTGAAACAAACAGCTCTGAGACCGTTCTTCCTTCACCACTGATTAAGACTGAGGTGGCAGGTATTAGGGATAATGTTCATTTAGGCTTCTGAGCTTTCTGGGCAGACTGGGTGACCTTGCCAGCTCCAGCAGCCTTCTTGTCCACTGCTTTGATGACACCCACGGCAACCGTCTGTCTCATATCACGAACAGCAAAGCGACTGAGAGGTGGATAGTCTGAGAAGGTCTCAACACACATGGGCTTGCCAGGAACCATATCAACGATGGCAGCATCACCAGATTTCAAGAATTTAGGGCCATCTTCCAGCTTTTTACCAGAACGGCGATCAATCTTTTCCTTCAGTTCAGCAAACTTGCAGGCAATGTGAGCTGTGTGGCCATCCAGTACAGGGGCATCGCCAGCACTGATTTGGCCTGGATGGTTCAGGGTCATCACCTGAGCAGTGAACCCAGCTGCTTCCATTGGTGAGTCGTTCTTGCTGTCACCAGCAACGTTGCCACAACGAACATCCTTGACAGACACATTCTTGACATTGAAGCCCACATTGTCCCCAAGAAGAGCTTCACTCAAAGCTTCATGGTGCATTTCGACAGATTTCACTTCAGTTGTAACGTTGACTGGAGCAAAGGTGACCACCATACCAGGTTTGAGAACACCAGTCTCCACTCGGCCAACAGGAACAGTACCAATGCCACCAATTTTATAGACATCCTGGAGAGGCAGGCGCAAGGGCTTGTCAGTTGGACAAGCTGGTGGTAGGATGCAGTCCAGAGCCTCAAGCAGCGGGCTCCACTGGCATTGCCATCCTTACGGGTGACTTTCCAACCCTTGAACCAAGGCATGTTAGCACTTGGCTCCCGCATGTTGTCACCATTCCAACCAGAAATTGGCACAAATGCTACTGTTTCGGGGTTGTAGCCAATTTTCTTAATGTAAGTGATGATTTCCTTGACGATTTCCTCATATCTCTTCTGGCTGTAGGGTGGCTCAGTGGAATCCATTTTGTTAACACCAACAATTAGTTGTTTCACACCTAGTGTGTAAGCCAGGAGGGCATGCTCTCAGGCATGCCTGTTCTTGGAGATACCAGCTTCAAATTCACCAACACCAGCAGCGACAATCAGGACAGCACAGTCAGCCTGAGATGTCCCTGTAATCATGTTTTTGATGAAGTCTCTGTGTCCTGGGGCATCAATGATAGTCACGTAGAACTCGCTGGTCTCGAATTTCCACAAGGAGATGTCAATGGTGATACCACGTTCACGCTCAGCTTTCAGTTTATCCAAGACCCAGGCATACTTGCAAGAGCCCTTTCCCATCTCAGCAGCCTCCTTTACAAATTGTTTAATGGTTCTTTTGTGGATGCCACCGCATTTGTAGATTAGATGGCCAGTAGCGGTGGACTTGCCTGAATCTACATGTCCAATGGCGACAGTGTTGATATGAGTCTTTTCCTTTCCCATTTTGGCTTTTAGGGGTAGTTTTCACGACACCTATGTTCTGGCAGCAAATCTGTTGCAAAAAAGCTCTAGGAGGCCTTTTTTATAGCTATCTTAGGGTTTTCCATGCAGACAATCACACCACCGGAAAATAGGGATTGTTTTATTTTTACCTTAAGGCTTACAATAATGGCTGTAATCATTAGACCACGTTATACTGGCAGAGGCATAGATGCGTAGGTGACTGGAGCAAATGGAGAACCCAGAAATAGAGCAACAACAACAAATAAATGTTCATCTGACTTTTTGCACCATTTCAACAAATGGTGCTGGAGCAATTGGACATTAACCTAAACTACATAAATTACACCAAAAACATAGGTCGAAATGGATGACAGACTTTAAAAATATAAAACAAACAATATAAAACTCTAGAAAACAGATAGGTCTGGATGCAGTGGCTCACACCTGTAATCCCAGCATTTGGAGGTTGAGATGGGAGGATCACTTGAGCCCAGGAGTTCACGGCAAGCCTGGGAAACATGGTGAAGCCCCTGTTCTCTACTAAAAATACAATAAATTAGTTAGGAGTGGTGGTGCATGCCTGTAGTCCTAGCTATTCGGGAGACTGAGGTGACAGGATCATTTGAGCCCAGGGAGGTCAAGGCTGCAGTGAGCCATGATCATGCCATTGCATTTCAGACTGGGTGACAGAGACCCTGTCTCAAAAAAAAAAAAAAAAAAAAAAGCAAAAGAAAACAAATTAGTAGTGCCTTCGAGAACTGAACGTGCAACTACAATATGACTCAGCAATAGTTCTCTAAAGAGAACTTCAGAAGGTTTTCCAAAAGTCACATGGAGAAGCAAGCAGCCAAAAACAGCACATGCTAAGGGACAGAAGAAAGTTACAGAAACAAACAGGCAGCATGATTCTGTTTATCTAAAGTTCAAAAGCAGGCATTAAAGGAGATGTGGTTCACGGATACACACACGACTGGTAGAAGTGCAAATCCCTCCAATCTCCTCTGGATGAACGTCCCAAAGGTACCAAGTAGAGTAAAGCAAATCAGATACTTCACACTATCGTATTCTCCGCCTGTTAGTCTGAGGCCACCTATAATACGGAGATGTCTCAGGAAGCAAACATTCTTGTAACATAGTTTCACTGATGACTCTTTTAAAATCTGAAACCCTTAATATCTGAAATGACAAGTAATTTCTTTCCACAGTACGAAATACAGTGCATACCCATTGGCTGGTAATAAAACTATTAGAGAAATAAGATATAAATTGCTTGAAAAAGGATTTGGAATTTTGTAAGTTAAAAAGTATTCCAATCTCCTGTTTCTTTGTTACTTACAAATTAAGAATTAAAAGACAGACCTACATGCAACTAGCAAACTTCATACTAGAATAATCTACAATCCAGAGAAGTCAGTCCTAAATTAAAGGTATAGTTTTGCTTTTAATACTTTCTTTCTGAAAATCAGACATGTTAAAGGTAATTTAAAAATTATTTTGAGAAAAAAGGACTCATTATCCTCATTGCAAATATTCATGATAACGTATCCTTCAGCAAAGTAATAATGAATGGTTGGACTTCTTTATGCATAAAGACATTCTAAGCTTGGGGCCTAGATCTTATTTCTTTCAAACACAAAAATGGCAGTCTGACTCGATTAACCTAAGCAATGACACAGAAAAAAAAATAATGCCCAATTCCCAACCTTGCACCCAACAACTTGCTTCCAACAGTCAATGGTCTTTCTCATTCCTCTTATTAGGACACAACAGATTCCATCTAACAGATCTGCAATTCCCACAGTTCCTTTTATTTTAATCTAAGTGTTTAAACTGTTCAATGATTTCCAATTTTACAGGATCCATATCTATGTAAGCCTAAGTGCACAAAGTATAAATCAGTGAACAATTCCCCACTGCAGGAAAACCAATCATATAAGTCATGTATTCAGAAACACTTTTCACAACTACATGGTTAGGAAGCAAAATTCAACAATTAGTCATTGACAATTTTGCCTCTTTCATAAACCTGACTTTGAAATGTATAAAAGTATTGCTAATTTAAAATCAGAGAGGAGGCCAAGTCTAATTAAATATTTCTTCAGAAAATTTGAAATCCTACTATATGTTTAAAATAGACCTATTATTCAGCACTCTTTTTGTTTGTTTGTTTTTGTTTTTTAGAGGATGGGGTCTCACTATGTTTCCCAGGCTGCTCTGGAGCTCCTGAGCTGAAGCGCAATATTCACACCTCTGCCTCCCAAGTATCCACTCTGGGGGTGCGGCCCTAGAATCTACTTCTCCCACAGGACCACCACCTACGCCACTGTACCAGCGGTTGGTGTTGCTAAACTACCTACTGATCAAACCCCTTAATAGGGCTGCTGAAACACCATTAAGGTAAGTCGGTTTAAACCAATCAGGTTTTCTCAATGCTGCCACCATTGACATTTTGGGCCTGACAATTCCTTGCTGCAGGGGCCTGACCTGTGCATTCCCGCCTTGTAACCCCTAGATGCCAGCAGCACCCCTCACAAGTTGTGGCAACCACACATGTCCCCAGACATTGCCCAGGTCCCCTCGGGAGCAAAACTGCATTAGCTGAGCAGCTCTTGCTTAAACATACACCCATTTTTAGCACTGAGTTTGGGTTACAGTTTTTGAACATCCATCTTGTCTCTGGGATAAAGATGGATATTGGCAATATAAAGGAGACTTGTGCGGCTGATACAGAAACACTCTAGGAGTTACCATCATGTGAAGAGAGCAAGTCACATCATACAGCCAGCATAATTCCACGTATGTGAAAACAAACAAAAAGCAAAGTTATTTGCATGTATAAAAGCAAAGAAGACTACAAGAATCTGCACAGCCCACTGATATCAGGTTATTTCTGAAGAGGATTTTGAGGTTGTGGGGAGGCTGCTGCAATTGGATTGTTGTTTGTTTGTTTGTTTTGAGAAGGAGTCTCTGTCGCCCAGGCTGCAGTGGGGCGGTGTGATCTCAGCTCACTGCAACCTCTGCCCCCTGGATCCAAGCAATTCTCCTGCCTCAGCCCCCCAAGTACCTGAGATGACAGGCGCACATCACCATGCCTGGCTGATTTTTTTCTACTTGTATTAGAGATGGGGTTTCACCACATTGGCCAAGCTACTCTTGAACTCCAAAACTCAGGTGATCTGTCCGCCTCGATCTCCCAAAGTGCTGAGATTACAGGTGTGTGCCAGAGCACCTGGCTTAATTTTTTTTCTTTTTTTTGGAAACCATATTGATGTATTACTGGCATAATTAAAATAATAAAGGAAAGAAAGGTAGGTCACGGAGCTTTAAAGTTAAAAAGACTCTGAGTCCTAACTAGTGATTGCAGGGTAATTATTACTTATTTTTACTTTTTTGTTCCCCAGACAGAGTGTCACTCTGTCAACCCAGGCTGGAGTGCAGTGGCGCAAACTCGGCTCATAGCAACCTCCGCTTGCCGAGTTCAAGTAATTCTCCTGCTTCAGCCTCCCAAGTCGCTGGGATTCCACCACGCCTGGCTAATTTTTGTATTTTCAGTAGAGACAGGTTTCACCATATTGACCAGACTGGTCTCGAACTCCTGACCTCAACTGATGCACTCACCTCAGCCTCCCAAAGTTCTGGGATTATAGGCGTGAGCCACCGTGCCCCACTCTAGGGTAATTTTTAAAAACAGTGCTAGGCCCCCTCCGTTTCCACTTGCGTAAAATGTAGACAATAAAACAGACTCTGTGGAACCGTCACAAAAGTGAGTGAGGCACATGCCTCGTGGGAAGGAGCGAGTATCACGCGCTCACGGGACATCTCCCCTTTGACACTGCTGTATCTGAAGTCCCAGTTCGGGCGAGCGTGGAGTATACAACCTGATAGCTGCGCAACCCCAGTTCCTGAGCCCTGAGTACCTCTCACCTTCTCCCTCTTCACGGTCATGGCCAAGGTCTGCCTCCTGCCCTCTGGCTCATCTCCAGTGCCTGCTCCTGCATACACTCACCTGAAGATATCATCTCTAGGTCTGCCACAAATGTATGCAGAGGCCCAGGAGGAGCCAAGGGTGAAAACTGGAGTGCCTAAGTCAGTGGTTCTCAGGATGTGATGTGCAGAGACCTCAATCTGAACTATCCTGCAGACTGCTTTGGTCCCACCCAGCCCACTGAGTCCAAACCTCTGGGGGTGGGACCCTAGAATCTGCTTCTCCAACAGGACCAACACCCCCTCCCCACTGCACTGTCAAGTCTGGGGCCCACCGGCCACATACCTGACTACAGCTCCAATGCCATGTGTCTTTATCTCCTATGTGCTAGGGAAAGAACCAGGAGAGGACAGCACAGAGGGAGGCCCAGGTCATCCTGTGACCTCCTCGCCTTTGCTGGAGTGACCCCTTCCTCTGGTTCAAAATCTACAACGACAGGGTGCAGACCAGCCCTCGACCACCGCGTGTGCTGAGATTCCTTGAGGACCTGAGGTCGAACTGCTTCAGAATGGAAATGCCCCTAGACTTAGAGTCAGACACATTTAGGCTCAGTCAGTAGTTCTGCCACTCAGTGAAGAAAATCACTTACTGTCACTACGCATCAGTGTCTTCATGTGAAATGAAGAAAATGATACCTCTCAAGGTGAGGAGGACTGAGAGAAACCACGCGTGTAAATCACCTGGCTGGAGATCTGGCTCACCGTAGGTGCAAAATAAATGTCAGTTTCCATGGTTCAGCGCCAGGGGCTTTCTCTGACACAGGCCAAATGCCTAGAACCTCCCCTCATTGGGGGAGAAAGAGGTCTTGAATGCCTTCTGTTTCATCTTTCTGCTTGCCTACACATCACCCATTTATCACTGCCTAGACTGAGCTGCACGCTTTTCCATCTCCCACGAGAGATGCCATCTCCACTGTGTCTCCCCGGGGTTCTTCTTCCCTGGCTCCCGGGAAGGCAGGTGTCACACCACTGTTGCCACAGCTTCGGGAAGCACACAGAGCATGGGTTAATGCAGCCCGATCCGGGAAAAGCTCCCGTCGGGTTTCACCACTGCCTCCCAGCATGACTTCATATTGAAAACACTACACCCCAGCACCATCATTGCTCCTGGAGAGAAGACACAAGAAGTCAGAAGGAACCACAAGCCCAGAACTCTCATTGCTTGGTCCCATAAAGAAGGTCAGGAGTTCCTAGAAGGGAGAAATTTCCGTCCAGTGAAAATTGTTTTTTCTTTGCTTTCCTTTGTATGTATTACTCCTGTCTAAAACTTCAAATCTTCCTACTCAGTAAACATCATCCTTCAGTGGTGGTCACGTGGCAGTCTGAAACAAGTCAGTGTTTGTGTCTGTTTTCTCTGTAGCTTCTCTTTTTGTTCCTCACTAACTTTTACTTCCTGCAGCTTCTCGTTCTCTTGTATTGTTATGTCCATTCCCCATATACCCCGCCATTTCTAATCCCTCCCTGGACTGACTCTCGGGCCTTTACCTCCTGTCCTAAAGCCTAATCTGCCTGAATCCTTTTCTCATTTCACTCTGCATACTCAAACTTACAGTATCTTGTGCCCTATACTTTTTTAAAAAATAAATTTACCAAAATAAATTACAAATAATATTTTAAGCCTGGACATTTGGCTTATGCCTGTAATGCCAACACTTTGGGAGGCTGAGGGGGGTGGATCCGTTGAGGCCAGGAGTTTGAGACGAGCCTGGCCAACGTGGTAAAATCCCATCTCTACTAAAAGTACAAAAATTATCCGGGTGTGGTGGCTCGCACCTGTAATCCCAGCTCCTCGGGAGGCTGAGGTAGGGAACCCTGGAGCTTGAACCTTGGAGGTAGAGGTTGCAGTGAGCTGAGATCATGCCATTGCACTCCAGCCTGGGCGACACAGTGGGTCTCAACAAAAAAAAAAGAAAAAGTTAGTGACTATGTCAAAGTCTCAGGATCCAAGGTCTCCATACTAATATGGAATGTATTTTCTTTTCTTTTCTTTCTTTTTTTTTTTTTGAGGCGGAGTCTTGCTCTGTTGCCAGGCTGCAGTGCAGTGGAAGGATCTCTGCTCACTGCAACGTCTGCCTCCCAGGTCCAAGTGATTCTTCTGCCTCAGCCTCCTGAGTAGCTGGGACTACAGGCACCTGCCACCTTGTCCAGCTACTTTTTTGTATTTTTAGTAGAGACGAGGTTTCACTGTGTAAGCCAGGATGGTCTCAAACTCCTAAAATTGCGATCTGCCCACCTCAGCCTCCCAAAGTGCTGGGATTACAGGCATGAGTCACTGAGCCTAGCTATAGAATGTATTTCTATGAACAAACAACAAATTAGAAAGAAAATTTAAAAACAGTACCACTTATAGGAGAAACAGAAAACATGAACTACTTAGGAAAATATTTAACAAAATAAATGAAGACCTCTACACTAAAAACTGTAAAAGCATTGCTGAGAGAAATGTTAAAAAAACTCTAGTAAATAGAGGGATATACTATGTTCATTATTGGAAGACTCAGTATTATTGAGATGACAGTTCTCTTTTAACTCATCTAAATTTTTTTTTTTTTTTTTTTTTTTTTTGAGACCGAGTTTCGCTCTTGTTACCCAGGCTGGCGTGCAATGGCGCGATCTCGGCTCACCGCAACCTCCGCCTCCTGGGTTCAGGCAATTCTCCTGCCTCAGTCTCCTGAGTAGCTGGGATTACAGGCACGTGCCACCATGCCCGGCTAATTTTTTGTATTTTTAGTATAGACGGGGTTTCACCATGTTGACCAGGATGGTCTCGATCTCTTGACCTCGTGATCCACCGCCTCGGCCTCCCAAAGTGCTGGGACTACAGGCTTGAGCCACCGCGCCCAGCACTCATCTAAAATTTAACACAATCCCCATCAAAATTTTATTGACAAACTGATTCTAAAATTCATAAGGCAATGCAAAAAACCCTAGAAAAACAACACTATTTTGGAAAGGAATAAGAAAGAGGGCATTCATTATTTGATTCTGAGTATGACTATAAACATATAGAAATCAAATCGGTGTGATATCAGCATAAGAACAAATCGATCAAACAGAACAGAATAGGGAACAGAAATAGACCCAGACATCTATACAGTCAATTGAACTCTGATAAAGCCTCCAAGTTAACTCGATGGGAAAAAGAAAGTCTTCTCCATAAATGATGTTGGACAGCCACGTGACTGAAAGGTGGGGAAACAACATGGGCAGAATGGTGGCCGGGCCGGGGAGCCCCGCGTCCTACACAGCTGCAGTGCGAGCTGCCAACACAACAAGCCCGGAGGCTGGAGAGATGGGCACCGCCCTGAGCGTGAGGCTGTTTGCATTTGAATCTGTACTAATGCAGAAACCAGAAAACAGCGATTAATCAACCAGGCTCTGATTTTATCAAACAAATATCAATGCCTAAGTCACTACGTGGTGGTCAGGCAAATCCTTAAAGAATCGTGTATTTTTAAGGCAATGAGGGTAGCATTTGTGACAGCCATATCTATTATAAGCCCACGTGGGAGACTGGGACAAGCTTTGCTCAAAGCAGGCTTTGGACTGAGGGGAGGTGGGGAGGCTGAGGGGTGGCTAGTCCTCTCTGTGAGCTGTAGAGTTTATGAACTCTCTGCCTGGGGGTTTCACCACAAATCCAAGCTGGGATTCCACAGGGGTCTGACATTCCCTCTGCTGGTGAAGCCTCATAGAGCCCACAAGAGCAGGACGCTCTTCCACTAGATTAGATGTACTCATTCAATAAATATGTATTACGTGAATGCTATATCCCAGGCAGTAAGCTAGATAGTCCCTGGAGGAAGCCACCGTGGGAAACACAAGGCCGAGAGCAGGGCCAAGCCAAATCAGAAGTGGCGGCCCAGGGGCAGTAGAGCCCCTGCGTAGGAACAAAGAAATAGCGAAGAAGACAAGCAGCAGGGAGAACTGGGGCCAGGACTGCAAAAGGAATCACAAAGCAGACGAAGTATCCGAGTGAAACCCGGTGGCGCACAGCTGAGAAGGTCCAAACAGGGCAGCCCCAGCAGCACTGAGCACTCAGTGAACTGACTGGAAACCGGATCTGGGTTTCCAGTTAGAAGAACCATGCAGCTCCTTGGAAAGATGGCTGATTCTAAGGCTGGGGCAGGACACATAAAGATGAGCCTGGAGCATCTGGTAGTGACAGGAAGTAAGGAAGCATTCAAGCGCCCCCCGATCCCCCACAAACATTGACGGAGCTCTGTCAGAGGGGCACAGAGCCAACTGCAAGGCTTCTGATGGCCAGTGCTGGAACAATGACAGCAAGGAATAAATAAAGTGGCGTTTAATTATAACCCAAAGCATAATGCAGCTGTTCATGATTCCATACTGACATAAATAAACTGTTGAATAAAGTAATAAATGGAGAAGAAACAAACCTTTCAGGCAGAAGAATTCCAAATCATGTATGTAGTTGCTGCACATCAATAAAGACAAAGCACAAGCTCCCATCTCCTAAGTGTGGGCTACACATAGTCGCTTTCTGCTCAGGAGTACAAGGTGGAAAAAAAGTAAAGAGTAACGTTCCAACCACCTACATCATTCAGGTGATCAAGGTCCTCATGCGCAGTCATAAATGGGCCAGGCACAGTGGCTCATGCCTGTAATCCAGCACTTTGGGAGGCCAAGTCAGGCAGCGCCCTTGAGGCCAGGAGTTCGAGACCAGCCTGGCCAACACGGTGAAACTCCGCCTCTACTAAAAATAAGATAATTACCCAGAATGGTGGCGCATGCCTGTAATTCCAGCTACTGGGGAGTTTGAGGCAGGTTCAAGCTACTTGCTTGAACCTGGGAGGCAGAGGTTGCAATGAGCCAAGATCATGCCACTGCACTCCAACCTGGGTGACAGAGCGAGAAAAAAAAACATAAATCATGCTGCTAGTGTGTCCCCTCAATATGGCACTTTCATGCTATGGCCTTCCTCCCCAAAATCCATAACCAGTGTCCAGTCATGTAAAAATCATCAAACAAATTTCAGGAGAGGAGCATCCTACAATACGCCTCCCCAGTACTCTTCAAAACTGTCAAGGTCATCAGAAAAAAGGAAAGTCTGACACAGGGCGTCCAATCTTTTGGCTTCCCTGGGCCACACTGGAAGAGGAAGAATTGTCTTGGGCCACACATAAAATACACTAACACTCAGGATAGCTCGTGAGCTAAAAAATAAAAAAGGTGGCCGGGCGCAGTGGCTCATGCCTGTAATCCCAGCACGTTGCTACTAAAAATACAAAAATTAGCTGGGCATGGTGGTGCATGCCTGTAATCCCAGCTACTCGGGAGGCTGAGGCAGGAGAATTGCTTGAACCGGGACCTGGGAGGCAAAGGTTGCGGTGAGCTGCAGCACTTTGCGGGGCCGAGTCAGGCAGCGCCACTGCACTCCAGCCTGGGCTACAGAGCAAGACTCCGTTCCTAAATAAATAACAAAAATAAAAAAATAAAAAAGGTCCATGCATCAATCTCATAATGTTTTAAGAGAGTTTACGAATTTGTGTTGGGCCACATTCAAGCTGCCTTGGGCCACGCGTAGCCCGTGGCCGGAGGATTGGACAAGCTTGGTCCATCACAACCAACAGGAACCCGAGGAGACAGAACTGTGGTATCCTGGGTGGGGTCCTGGAACAGAAAAAAGATGCTAGGTTTACAAAAACTAAGGAAATCGGTATAAACTATGAACTTTGGTTACTAATAGTATATCAATGTTGGCTTATTAATTATAACGAATATACCATGCAATGTAAGGTGTTTATAACGGGGGAGCCGGATGGGGGGGCTGGGCTGGGAACTCTACCTGCTCAATTCTTCTGAAATTAAAGAACTGCTCTGAAGCCGGGCGCGGTGGCTCAAGCCTGTAATCCCAGCACTTTGGGAGGCCGAGGCGGGTGGATCACGAGGTCAAGAGATCGAGACCATCCTGGTCAACACGTTGAAACCCCGTCTCTACTAAAGCTACAAAAAATTAGCTGGGCATGGTGGCGCGTGCCTGTAATCCCAGCTGCTCAGGAGGCTGAGGCAGGAGAATTGCCTGAACCC